AGGGTTCATAAACGAATTGTAGACCCATTTCGCCGCTTACTAAGGGATGTCCATTCTTGTGCAAAGAATCAAAGCACAAAATCTACTTCAATGTGTCAAGTGAAGGATTTGAGGAAAACGGAGGAACGGGAGGATTTTTGTTATCTTAACGTTTTAGATATAGTCTTCTAGTGAAGAGAATATACGGCAAGCTAAATCTCAAAATCACAGTAAAGTCACTTCTTTTTTTCTTTCTTCCCTGACTAAAACAGTGAGCAAGCATTTAAGATTTACCGTAGACAATCTCCGCTTTGAAATATTGGAGAGTTCGAAAATCAACACGTTCACGACAATACGACCCACCCACCGGTGGGTCGTACGTGTTCTGCCGTTTCGGACAACACGACCCATGGGTCGGCCGTAAGTTTGACAAAGCGAAAAAAGCTCCGATCCGAAACGGCAGTAATCGAAAAATTGGCCTTGGAATGTGTTAAACACTTCGATGGTTTCCCATAGGATTGCTCACAACCGTGGGCTGACCATAGCGTATGATTTGAGAATCGCTTTTGGAATATGACAGAAGTTCCACCATTTATGAAGCTACCCTCTCGTGTTCAGCTTATGGCCTAAACTCAAGAAAAAAATTTAGTAGCTGGTTCCTTGGCTCTCAACATTTTAGAAATTGCTCAAGTTGCGCTAATAAATAGCTTTCTTTAGTGTGCTAGAATGGTAATCACAATGCCTTCTTGATAGTATGAGCTTGCTAGGCGAGCACTCGTCAGCAAGCTCTCTATAACTTAAGAGATTTTGGATACAAAATGGCTGTTACTCATCAATTGTAGTTTTTTGTCAGGTTATACTCATACTGAGAATATCATTCTCCCTACAATGGTTAAGTGATGAAATACTCTACCAAGCATCTCCTCTTTCATAGTTTCAGACTTTAAAGTTCAAACTCACTTACCAAAATAGATAAATGGAAACATTTTCCATTTTTGTTGCGGGGCTAAAACACAGTCTCTAGCCCCATTCCACAAAAGAGCAAAAAGCAACACAATGCTTCGACCTGACATGGAATGCACAGAATGTGGAGTTCTTTTGTTGGCCATCGCAAAATGCATAATGATAGCAATTTTCGATTGTCGAGTCTTTCAGTGCGCGATGGGAATCTATTGGTCTTATATGGAACTACATCAACCGCTGTGTTTGGTAGACTGGACATTCTCCTACTTGACAAAGTATCAAAGCTATAGTTCTCACTAATCTTTGCCCTTCTTCGAATTTTGTTTCGGCACGAAATTTTCGCTCTGGTTCCTTCTATGACATCATGTAAATGGAAGGCAGTGTACCAGTGAAGCAGACAGATACAAGAAGTTTTTTTTCAGTAATGAACTTTCAAGATCCTGTTCGGACAACCTCTGTAGTCAGGAAATTGAAGATGCGTAAGAAATTGAATTTCATGGAAATTGAGCCAAATTATTCACTTTGAGATATATCAGCGGCCTGTTTGTACCTACAGACAACTACGAAATTTGTTTTTGGCAGATAATTTGGTTACTATGATGTTTTTTGCAATTTGCAACTCAATTTGTATACATTGCGTTTTTGCAATATATACTCCCTTCGACGGGAATTATATCAAATTTGGATTTGACATATTTGCACTTTCAAGTGCATTACCCAAGGTGGTACTGAATTCATAGAAGATAGAAGCTCCTGCGCATTTAGATGTAGATAATTCGACAAACTATTACGTTGTTCCGAAAGTTCTGTCGTTTCATTTTTTAAACATTATAACTTTGCGCTTTCTCAGCGGTTTTACTTCACTATTTATTAGAAAGGGATTCTTTCGTTAACGTAGACTGTTTTGATGAGCCTCTGCTACGAAGAGATTGCAGAGATAGTATTAGGTTGGTGCAAAAGTAATGCGCGTTTTTCTAGCCCTTGGTTTAGGACAACTTTTCTATACCAAACTTTCTTCTTTGAAAAAAACTTAGCACATTTTCAAGAAGCTCCTTTCATCCTCTATCCAATGATGGTTAGAACGAGCTTCTAGCTTCATCAGTTAAAAAATAAGAGAGCTTCACACAGCCGCACTCTAAACCAGAATTTCATTGCATTTACTTCTCTGGCCAAAAATCAAGCCCGAATAAAGGCAACTTTTCGAAACTTTAGCTAATATATTAAGTGGGAATTGTCTACATTATGCACATTTTCTATTTTCTCAGAAATTTTCTAGGCTAAGATTTCGGCTCCTCAACATGGGCAGTCGTTTTGACCATTCTTTGATCCATAAATTTCCTTTGAAGAGGGCAATCACCAAACCTTTGCTCATTTCTGTAAGCGTAAGGATGAGCCTCCTATTGGCAGTTTCTACAGAATTGTGTACGTGTTCATTACGCAGAAATCCAAAAGAATTCCATATTTTGGGGTTTTTACGCTTGCGAGAAAATGTCTAGAAAAGCGGGCAATTTTGGTTTTAAATTTTTTTCCTTTTCGCAAATTCTCTCTGTTTGGCCGTTTTCCACTTTTTTGTACTACAGGCTTCCGGCTACAAAATGGGCTACTTGTTATCTATATTGACATATTCTGAAGAAAGCTATGATCAGTTAAATTTGAAGTTTCAGAAAAGAACTTTTTCTGCTTATCAGTCCATATTTTTCTGCCCGTTGGAGATATGAGTATAGGGAGATGTGCGCTGTATTGCGAAAGGTTTGCTGCCTCTAATGTTTTTTACCGCGTTAAAAAATGTAGATTTTTTAGAAAGTTATAACACGTCAAATTGAGAACTAGCAAAACGCGCATTACTTTTGCACCAACCTAATAGTAGGAAAAGAAGACCATACAAGCTTTGGTCATTTCAACTTAGGTCGCCAGAAATCTGGAAAACCGCAGAAAAGTCTGAAATCGTCAAAGCACTAGTTTTTTGACCTACTCTTTGCAACTGTGAGAAGTTTGTCTTGTCTGAACGTTTTTTTGAGAAGTTACGAATTATCAGTTTACTACAGAAAACGCCAAAATCAATGTGTCACTTTTCGAAAATCATAACTTTTTGCAGAGAAGTACAAACACCACAAACTTTTCTCAATTGCAAAGAGTAGGCCAAAAAATCTGTGCATTGACGATTTCGGATTTTTCTGCAGTCCCCCGATTTTTGGCGAACTAAGTTAAATATATGGTCTTCTTTTTCTATTCTTATCTCTGCAGTCAGTCCGTAGCAGAAGCTTTTCAAGACAGCATTTAAAGGCGAAAGGCTTACTCTTTCTAATAAAAATATGATGAAGTAAATCCGTTGAGGTAGTGCAAAGTTATGATTTTTCAGATATGATACGACAGAACTTTCGGGATAACCTAATCCATTCCCCTATGTCATCAAGCTAGTTGGCCTCTTAAGGCTTCGCTATATTGCACTAAACCAACTCGCTATTGCACTCTTTTATTTGTAGATGACTAAAACGCGGCAGACTCTTTTTTGGACGAAAGGCAACGTTTTAAGCAGCATTGTTTGCATAGGTGTTCCAATTTTCTTTTTATCAGATCATACATATACAAAAAATACCACTACATTATTGCATCACCTGACAAACATACTCTTTCAATTCCATCATATGAGAAGCTGTTCTCCATGATTTTCTTTAAATGAGCTTACGAAGCTTTCAAAAAAGGCAATAGCCCATCCTGCTACATTTCGTCACTTCTTCAAGCGAAAAAGAATCAACATGCCTGCTTTTCTCAAATAGAAAAAGCCTCAACACGTGCAGAAGTATTGAGAAATACATTTTAATATTGTCTAAACTTCTCAATTCCGAGAATGGTTTATCTGAGCCTACATTCAGCACTTCATTGAAGTGAAGAGACCGTTTCTCTGGATTGATTTCAATGGTAAGATCAGTAAAGGTGATCCAATCCGCATTCATAAAAGTGTGTCTGCTTTCATTCATAACCTCATTTTAGTAGAAATTCGACCTGAAAAACCCAACAAAGCATTACTGTACACATTGCAGGCAGAGGCCTGAAAGCATTTCAAAATGCCGTCTTTTTGAATGAGGTGCTCCTGAATCTGCAGTATCGGACGGAAAAGACGGCTCCGACGTACTAATCTTGACGAAACGTCGGGAATCCATAACTTTGTTCAAAATGATGTCATGATCGAATTTTGATATTTGCAAAGCAAATTTTGCAAGGATTCGAAACACCACAGAAAATTCATAATTTAATTTCACAGAAAGGGTTTTTGTTCAATTACCCCGACGGACCGTCTTGGCGATTTAATGATATGAAAGTAATTCTGAATGCCTGGTGATTCTTCGAATCCTTGTAGAACTTTCTTTCCAGATAACAAAATCCGATGTGAAAATCATTTTGAACAAAGTCATGAATTCCCGACGGTTCCGTCAAGATTAGTACGCCTGAGGCCGTCTTTTCCACCCGAATTAGAAGCTCAGTTATAGAGTGTTTCAATAAATTTACGAAAATTTTCTTTTAGAGAATCTGAATGATTCAGCTTTTTGCTATGCTATCACCAAAAAAGGGAGGTTTCTCCACAAAATACGGTATTGGCCCATCGATATATCATCGGCATAATTTTTTAATCCCTAGCAGTGACGTCAAAATTTCCATAAGGAATTACTTGCAATTTTTCTGATTGAAAACAAGCAAAATATGCACCATATTTCAACTTTAGAGAGAATAAAAAACGAGTGAATTCATTTTTTAATTTCTAGCTAGAGACTGTGTTCCTTCCTTTTTTTTTGAAAGACATAAAAAGCAATAATTATTACGAGCTGTAAAATGACTAATTGTATGTACAAACACTGTCTCACCTGCAGTCATTTCAGATTCAAAAAAGTTCAAAACTTCTTCGTCCATACCGATGAAGAAGTTGACGTTATGAGCGTCTGACTAGTGAATTGTAGTACACTTATAAAAATTACTATTATTGGGAGTGATAATGTTGATAAGAGCGTAGCCAGGCGTTTATTGGCTCTAAGGAATGCTCGTCTCAGTGTCTCAGGCGTTGTCCTAGTTAGCGGTCCGGTTTAGCGCCGATCGCTTGCACTGACATAGCGCTCGGCTTGTTAATGGGCTTTCTTTGGCCAGTTTCATAGCACAGCTGTTCCGTTCCATCTCACTGGCTAGGTTCGTTTTTTGCAACCCTTTTTTTTTGCTTCGAATTAGATAATATAACTTAAACCGTAATCCATGCAAAATAATCATATTAAATTACATATATCGCAACGTGCATCCACATTTAACGTATACTATTATATTATATATTTATATATTACAGTGAATCTATAATCTTGATACTGTAGGTCCACGGTATCAACCTCCATTACAAGCGCAATTTATGAATCGAACGCAGCTCTAAAATATGACAAAAATGCAAATCTATACAATGGGGCTTTTGGGGACGCTCACTTCATCTAAATTTTGTGAACGTAATTGGAGGTATCATGAAGCTGCTATCACGGTACTCTTAGCTTAATTTCTGATCTAGGCTAGAAGTTTGATAAGTTTGTTATTCTAATCAGCATTTGTAATTGAACCAGTGACAAAGTTTTCAGAATTTTGAAACCCTTTTTACCATAGAAATCCACTGGCACAAAAGTCGCTTTCATCTCCTACCTTATTCCAATAGATTTGAATGAAACCTATTAATGTGATAAGGTGCATGTCTTGGAGATCGTGAGGGACATAAAAGCAGAAGTGTATTGAGGGAACTGAAATATGAACAATCAGACAACGATTGTGTCTGAACCTGGGCACCCTGTGTATACAAAGACAATTCTGAAGGTACCCATTTTTGATTGTTTTGGCTTTCCTCATGTTGCCGCAAAAATCAAATGCGATAACGTAGTTTATATTGTAAATAACAGTGAGTTGAAGGAACCTTGGCACCCTGGTGAACTACCTCAGAACGTGACAGTAGTGAGCTACCCCATATGACCGGCACGATCAAGGTTGAACTCCCACTCCTCGTACTAGTCATCTTGCTCATTGGAATAACAAATTGGTTGTAGAGCAATCTTGGCGAAGCGCATACTCAGAAAAAGCGTTAGGGCTACCAAAAGGACTCGATAAATGAATTTTTCGCTGAACTGCCTATCTAGAGCTATTATATGTATCAGAATAGAAGTATTATGTCGACAAGCTATTTTGTTTGCTTATGTCGCTGTTACGCATCCCGCGAGGAGCTGAGAAAATAATCCGTAATGGTGCTCAAGCTAAAACTACTCTACACGATTTTCCTTTTTGCAAGAAAATGGCTACGAAGTAATTATTCAGAGTGCTTCACCATTCCTATTCTCAGTAAGCGTGCTTTGAATGGAAATAGTAGTCTGCGCTGAAAAAATTCTCTTTGCTATTTGGAAATGAATTTACAAAAATAGCCTATACATTCTGGCGTATAAAGCGCACTAATTAAAAAAGTTTGCGTTATACACCTCCTTCAAAAGGAGTTGAAGAATACTTCTCCGAAAATTTTTCTTGTTAAAACATGCAAATCAATGTTTTCCATACATGCCTATTCCCAGCGAAAGTAGGGTCAAAGTTATGGGCTATCCCTTTGCCAGCATCAGAATGGAATCTGACTTGCTATCATTTACAGAAACTTTTGATTTCACTTTGATTTGCAAAGACAAGGCCGTCAAGATTGCACATAGCCTATGCGGAAGAAGATTTTGCAGATTCTGCGCATTTTCAAAGACTTGAAACATTCCTAAGATGCTCTTCTAGATCTCTTCGAGCATGTGACACATTCTTGTCCCTCTCCAGCAAGGGCAAAGAGATTATTGACGTTCAATTAAGGATAAGTGTCTCATAATCATAAGACAACAATACGCAGAGATTATCCGTTTAAAGTATTAAGAAGACATTGATTGATTTGTCTGTAAGCGGATTAGGGGAGAAACAGATGGATTAGGAAAGAAAATATGGTAAACATATATGTAGTTTCAGTTGGTGTATGACAAGATTATCGAAAGAAAAACCATAAATAATTTTATTCGTCAAATTCAACAGCTCAAAATTATCCTAACTTCATAGAGATAAGCCAAATTCATGCAACGAATGAGCGATTACTTTTTTATCTCCGAAATGTTATTTTTAGACGGAAAGATGTTGCGAAAGTTTCGTGCAAAACAAGTTTTTCTCTTGTGTAGTTTTTTTGCTACAAAAAAGTGGATTAATACTTCAAAACTCGTTCCATACTGAGTGCGTCGTACATACTGGCTTTTGAAAATTTTGACTGACCAGTATTTTCTTTGCGCCATACAGTGTATCTTTTAGATGTTTGGTTCTAAATGATATTTCAATTTATTTATTTGTTCGTAAATGCTGACTACATCGCTCAAAATTTGAAATTCAAGCTTAAATTAAAGCAAAATCCATTCGGTTGGGCTATAGCTCGCTATATCCACAGCAAGATGACTAGCTCCATCGAAACAAAAGATTTATGCTTGTTCAGATTTTTTCGTATTCAGCCAATTGTGAAAAAAAAAGAATCTCAAACTTCGTGTATAAACATAGATCTACGTCAAAACAGTATAGTACTCTAAAACACATGAAATATGGGCCCTATCCTTGGCGTTGAATTTTTCAAGGAATGGTAGGGGGCTAAGACGGAGAAACAGTAGCTTTTTTCAAACGTGAAGACGGTTCTTAGAAATGAATCCTGAGAGACTTACAAAAAGAATTTCGAAAAGGTTTCTAAAAATTTTTTACTCCGTTTAAGGACAGAAAAAAAGGGTTTGTTAATTTTTCTTCTAAACACAAATTCAGTTAGTTCCTGTTATTATTGCTGAAATATGTAAAACTACAATAAGTTTTGCTTTGGAAATTGATCATTTAAAGTTTCGTTAAACTTACTCATTTTCCTAAAGAAGCAGGCCTTTAAACTACGCTAATAGGTGATTATTAGATGTAAAATGTGTAAATCTCTTTTATTAGGTCGGAAAAAAATGTCGTTTTCCATAGCAAGCTTCGAAACTTTAACCATAGAATCTTGGCCTTGGATAAGCCCCAGTTGTTGAGAAATATTGAGTTCTGCTGAAAACCCAAAAAAAACGACATTCTCTCCTTTCTAACCTAATATTTTCGAAAGATGAGGAGTAAACGTGCAGACAAATCTATTTTGATTGGTGAAAAAAGCTAAACTACATTTGCAAAAAGTTGTACTTGTCAAAGTGCGCTCATTACCTTTTTTTCCAATTTTATGAAGCTAACAGTAACGATAGTGTCATGCACCACAAAGTGACTTTGCTTTATAAGTTATTCCTTCTAATTTCTTTTCGCTAAAACCCTCTATACTGCCAAAGCTTTCGAAAATCAAACCTTTATCGTAGCCTGATTAGATTGGAATTTTTATTGCCAATCCCTGAACCCCTTTCGTTGCCAAGCAAATAAATAAGCTCTTCTGATAACATAACCTCATCACTTGCGTAATTACGTATGTAGTTTGATGGCTGCGTCATTAGCGGTAGCCTCGTCATGTCCGTTTCGTCATTATCTCCGACGGAGACGTCGAAGTTACATTGTTGATAAAAAAATTTGTTGATAAAAAATCCGCAGATTCATTGTACCCGGGGCTGAGTCAGAGTTTATGACAAATGGAATTTTCGCGTGCGAAATGAGCAGTTTTTCCTGAGACCTCGTGAGCTCGGGTTGCTAGCAGATAAACTAATCTTTTCATGCTTGTGATAGTTTTTTATTATGGAATCCTCGTGATCATGACAAGGTACCAATTCTCTAAACAAACCAGAAGCTTTATGGGAACTGATAAGAAAGCTATGGTGAGCCCATTCTCGCAAATAGAATTATGCTTGGCAAGAAGTGAGTTATAACTTTTCGCAATTGAAAAAATAAGAGAAGTTAAATTTTGCTGCTATTATCGATTTTTTCATTATAAGCAAGGGCGAATTTTTTTGATGAACTAATCACATATTTATGGTTAAATTATTTCTTCAAATCATTTTTTTTCAAAAAGAATTTTGGGTGCAAGTTTGAACCCCACTAGGAGTTGAGAAGAAGAGTCTCGAATTATTGAAAAACGAGAATTTCGTTTTTGTGGACTGAAGGATCCGTTTTGTGCAGAGCCTCAGTTGCAAAAATGATGGTAAAAAAAACCCTTGTTGAATATATTGGGGGGAGGGGAAGGGCTGAATAGTCACCGAGAAAAATAGGAGTACTCTGAAACATTGTAGAGTGGTCCGCCATTTTTCGGAGGCTTGGCTTTTTTAGTGTAAAATTTTGTACTCCAACATTCTCTAAGTCATTCGAAAGTGATGTAAAAATCGTTAGCGCAAATTTTATTTCCGATTTTTTCTTTGAAGGTGTCTGCGCTTTAGCACTTTTTTGGCTCACGAAGAACTTACCGCCTTTTCAGTATACTTTTTTAAGTTTAAATTGACGCTTGAGAATAAAATGTTCGAATCAAGTGCGTTTTGCAGTTTCAGGAAACTCTCTTTGTAATATTTTAGAGAATTGAATATTATCGCTGTCATCTAGTGAGTGTGCTTTCATTCTCACTCATCCCGCTATCAGAACCAAAAACGCCTAACAAGCGGAACCTTTCCTAGGTATTGAGCTTCTAAGCATAAAATTCGAGAAAAATTCCCAGTCATAAGGGATATTACTTGAAATCGTTCAAGTAACGTCATGAAGCGTCAAAGAACGGTAATTTTCTTCTTAGTAGACGATTTCCTTAGCTGCACCTAAATGTTATGGCCCTTGTAGTAAATGCTGTCATCATTTCTTTTTTGTAACACACATACTTCGGCGATAAGGCCTAATCTGTGGTTGAAGGCATTAACCCTTCACGTGTTGTAGTCCATACCATCTAGCCTAAAAAAAACTTTCATAGAAATCGCTTCTTGAGTTTTTTGCAAGAAACTTTCTTTGTAGAAAAGAACAAGCTGTTTGGGAACATTTGAGCTTTCCATAATTTGCGACCTATATAAAAATCCAAAATACAAATTTTGCCAAAAATTTCTTTCACTTTTCTTAACCTGCACTTCTGATAACTGTATGTTAAGGAGACATATAATCGTAGATATCTGCAGAATTCTCTGTGGCCAAGGAAAGAAAAAAGAAGTAAGCGTTTGAGAAGAATGACAAACTCCTCCCCATTTGAAGTCACC